CAGTGGCCGACTTACGTATAGCCTCTCAGCAGCTCTCTTCCTCTTCACCCAACACTCTCCCCAATTCCCCCCCTCTCTCTCTCTCTCCCCCCCTTTTTCTGTTGAGCGTTAAACCACGACCTTCTAATGCAGCGGCGCCGTGGCACTACCGTAGGAGCCCATGGCCCGACCACAGCAACTTGGCCATTCAAACGAAGCGCCCGTACGAAGGTTTTCAATTAAGCGTATCAGCATCCCGCATCCGTCGAGGTAACTCGGACGAAGCACCCTGAAGGCGGTGTCTTGTCCGAAAACGGACGAAAGAAGTAACCCTTCGGCTCAACGACGTACCCCGACCGAAGTACCATAATAGCAGCGGCTGAAGTGAAGCAAAGCCTCAACTAGCCCGAGGTCGCGACCCGAAGCGATCCCGAATAGAGGAAAACCGCTGCCGATGGGGCGGCTTAGACAAGGGAGCGCCTTGAGTGCAAAGCCTGTACAGAGCGCAAGCACCGCGTGTCGATCCTCTCCTCTCGCTCCCTCTCCCCATCGCCCTCTCTCTCTCTTTCTCTCTCTCTCTCTCTCTCTCTCCCTCTCCCTGTTATGGCCGCTCTCTCTCTCTCTCTCTCTCTCTCTCTCTCTCTCTCTCTCTATCTATCTATCTATCTATCTATCTATCTCTCTCTCTCTCTCTCACTCTCTCCGAGCGCTATATCACTTAGCTCGAGTACTGTGGCACTACCGTAGCAGCACACGGGCCATCCTGGGTAACTTGGCTATTCAAACAAAGCGCCCGGGCGAAGGCTTTCTTTTTAGCGGAGCTACACCCAGAGTCCGCCAAGGTGGCTCGAACGAAGTACCGCGATACCCGTTTCTTGACCGAAAATGGATGAGGTAACACCTCAGCTCAACCGAGGTAGCCCGACAAAAGTACCACAATAGCAGTCGCTTGAGCGCAGGAGCATGAGCGGAATGACGCCTCGACTCGAAATAATCCTCGAAGAAAAGCAACTGCCGACGGAGCGGCTTAGACAAAGGAGCCCCTAAGCGCAAGGCGTGTACCCGGTGCACGTGGCGAGCGACGATCCTCTCCTCTCTCTCCCTCTTCCAGTTGACCTCTCTCTCTCTCTCTCTCTTCCTCTTACCGGCTATGGTCGTGGTCTCTGTCGCTCCCTCCCTCTCCCTTTCTTTCCCTATCTATTTCCGTCTATGGCCGCATTCGCCGTCACTCCCTCTCTCACCCCGTCTCTCCCTCTCTCTCTCTTTTCGACTATGGCCGCGTTCGCCGTCGCTCCCCCTCTCACTCCGTCTCTCTCTCCCTCTCTCTCCACCCGACTATAGCCGCATTCGCCGTCGCTCTCACTCTCACCCCGTCTCTCTCTCTCTCTCTCTCTCTCTCTCTCTCTCTCTCTCTCTCTCTCTCTCTCTCTC